GGTGAAGGGCAGGACGTGTGTGTGTGTGTGTGTGTGTTTGGGTGTCTGGATTTGGGGAGAGGTGGACAGCCAATAAACTGGACTGGACAGCCACTTGTCTGAAGTGGTCTAGGGCTTCCTGCTTGAGCAGGGGGTTGGACTAGAAGACCTCCAAGGTCCCTTCCAACTCTTATTCCTTTTTTTTTTTTTTTTTTTTTTAAAGGTCATTTCTTATTTGGCTTTATTTCGGAACCATCAGACAGTTTTCCTTCTTGGAAAGGCTGCTGAGAAGACGGTGAGTAAATCAGGCTCTAAATGTTCGGCGCCATCAACCATGGTCCCTTCCTTCCTGGACTATCTGGGAGGTTCAGAAAAGGCATCATTTACAGAGGTGCTTGTCAAACAGCCGGGAATCAAATGTGTATCAAGATTTATGGCAAGCTGGAGCTCCCTACAAGAACCTGATTTACTAACGGTCAAGGGAAATTAGCGGGAGTTCGGAACAGAAGGAATTCAAGGTGGGCTGGACTCAGATCTCTGCTGGGCTTGAAGAGACTCCTGACTGATGGCCCTTTTGACCTCTCCCGCCCTTGGGCTCAGCCTGCTTCTCTCCTACGGTCCTGTTCCTATCTCAGAGGTTCTAGTCAGCAGCCATAGGGGAAGAACAGCTGAGCCCATGTTGCTCTACTAGGGGGCTCCATAAGGCTCAATCTTTTATTATTTGGGAAATGTACAGGTTGCGCCAAGCTGTCACAACTCTGGGGAGCACAAAGTCTCTCTCAGTCTCTCTGTGTGTGTATGTGTGTGTTTGTGTATGTAGAAATAATTCTAAATAAATAAATCAGGCAGGGCTTAAACCGGAGAAGGAAGGAGGCGAGGTGGATCTGAAGCAGCAACCGAAAGGCTAACCCCCCTGACGATACCATCTATGCCAGCTAAAGCTTTTCTCCCAAAAGAGAAAGCAACGCTAAGGAAGCATTATTCAGATTTGCACAGCAACATTTAGACAGGCCTCGCAGCATCAAATGGGGGGGAAATAATAATACTAATAGCATCCTTTATCTATCCTGCTCCCCTTGCCTTAGATTTTCAGCAGCACAAAAGTGATAGCGTTTTTGCCGACTAGAAACCGAAAGCCAGACCGTATTTTCACAGACAAGGTCATCGCGACATCCGCAAAGCTTGCTGTGAATGCCGGTCTCCACTTCCAAGGGTTTTCCCTTCAAAGCGAGCTTTTGTAGGTTGCCTTCTGAAGTATAATTGGGAAGAAAAAGAGACCGTTTGTCCTTGTGAGGCACAAATATCAAATCCTTCGTTAGGGAAAATGAAGGGAACACACGCAGTTGCTTTACCCCTATTTTATATCCTAATGAAACCACTTAATGTGCAAAACGCTTGATAAACTCTGTCTAAAGTAACAATGCATTCAAGGCATTATGGCCCCTGAAATTAAAAAAAATATATGGTTCTCTACAACAAGAGAATATATTGATCACCTACTCTTAGACTTGGTTATTAACATGTGGCCTATGATTGTAACGGAAGCTGTAAAATGGGCCACCCTGATTTTAGGACTTTTTCTGTGCGGTTGTTAAACCAATGCAACGGTCGTAGCCACTTAAGCAAAGCCACTGTTGGCTATGGCGCAGTTTTGTCGAAAACTGGAAGAGTCGGGTTTTGGTAAAACCGTCATAAAAATGCAGTCAGGTGACTGCACGCACTGCAAATGGGCATAAATGCAGCTGTGTTGCGGAGTGCCTATGCAGTCATATGACTGCAGGGGACTGGGTGTGTGTGGGGGGGAAAGATAGTCAGATCGTAAGTCCCCCTTCTCAGCCAGCCATCGCTTCAAAGGCTAAGCAACTCGACTACAGCAAGTCAAAGACGGCCTGCAATTGGAAAAGAAAAGCTGTCCTTTGTTCCTTTACAAAATGTAAAACAGCTGCTCCAACGTTATCAAAAGCCGTAATGTAAAGATTAAGACTTCTTCAAGTCCAGTTGGTAACTCCACGGACACAAGTGTGCCGTTTTTTTTAAGAAGGCAGGCTTTGATGGACACCTTTAAGGGGTTGTCTGGAAATTGTCTGGAGATAAGGATGAAGAAGCATTTCAAATGATCACAAAACAAAGAATAACCAGCTGTTCCCAACTATCTTTTTTTCAGCAGATCCCCGAGATGTAGAGGGATTTGGCCGCCAGATAACAGACAGCAGAATAACAGAGTTGGAAGGGACCTTGGAGGTCTTCTAGTCCAATCCCCTACTTGAGCAAGAGACCCTCTATCATTTCAGGCAAATGGCTGTCCAGTCTCTTCTTAAAAACCTCCAGTGATGGAGCACCCACAACTTCTGGAGGCAAAGCTGTCCCCCTGGTTAATTGTTCTCAGCGGGACGGCTTGCCTTCCGAAGTTGTCGTAGGTGCTTCCCAGCTTAGACAACCCGCAGAGGTGTGAGCTTCATCGGGTCTAGGAGAAACCCTGAAATCAGAGGCAGAATGAATAAATAAATAAATAAAAACCCCTCGGTCTTTGACTGAAGCCAGAACAATGAGACCACTTGAAGTTCAGCCAGTTGAAATTAGTGCAACCAGCAGGATAGGTGAGAGAGAAATCATTTTTCAGAAGAGATACCTGCGACCAACCCACAGAGCTCATAAAAAGAGATTAGCATGTTAACCACATCATTAAACATGAAGAAGTGGAAAGGAGCCTCCCAAGGCAGGGATGAAGATTCAGAGGACACAAAGACAGCTGTTGCCTAGTGTCGCAGGGCTTGGCTTAGGGGAGGGGCTGAAATCTGGGTTTCCCATTGGCTTTTGAGGCCTTCGGACCAGCAAAGCCAATGGGCAAAGCCAGACTCATTTAACAACGGGGTTACTTATTTTAACGACTGCAGCAATTCACTTAACCGACGACGTGGCAAGGAAAGTCGTAAAATGGGGCCAAAACCTCCCTTAACAAATTTCTCACTTAGTAACATAACTTTTTGGGCTCAACTGACTAACTGTGCAAATAAAATCCATCCCACAAGTCCTATTAACCTCCTTAAACCCAGGCCTGGAAAACAGCAACACAGTTGAAAGGTTTCGCCTAATGCCACGCAAAATTAGAGTCAGTCAAATTAGTGTAAGATTGAGAGAGGGGTCTGGTGGCCTGCCCTAGAAAAGGTCCCGACTCTGCCGATGCTTAAATAAAACCTTACAGCCGTGACAGTTAATCTCTATCCACTCCAAATATGTTTTTCACCGTTTATGCAATTCTCCAGGCTCAATTATCTCCCTGTTTAATTGTCACCTGAGCTGATAGTTAAAGAGAACGAAATGTGTTTTAAATCAAGTCTCTCTTGTTTGTTTTCTGGATTTGTTTTTTTTCCCAAAACAAGATTAGCATGACAAGAGGGTTTTGTTTATTTTCCATCTCCAAGAACAGAGCGGCTTCAGGCCATCTACAATTTCCACCGCTTAATTGTCGCTCAGAGGTTACGGCAAAAGGTCCACCCGGATTTCCATAAAGTACTTCAAACTCATTACTGATGCTGATTCTGGTGTCAAGAGAGAGGAGAAAAATCTTTATGGCTAATACAATAGGTCCAGTCCTCCCTTCGATGGAGAACTTCAGTGGCTTCCACTGAGATGCATATTGAATTTTTAAAAATGAGGTCCTTGGATCCTAGTAGCTTAATCAGTGCAACACAGAGCAGAAATTAATATCTAAAAAGGAGGGGGGGGAGGATTTGATGCAATTCTGAGGAAGTGGAAATCTAGACTAACTTAGTTGCTGATAAACAGGTCTCCAAACAAAGCAAAATGTCAAAATCAAGACAGGGAAGCTAACTCCTGCAGCCTTTCACCGTATGAAAAGAGAGTTTGGCAAAAACATATTCTGAAAATGTCAATAACATTCAATCAATCAATCCATTTCAGAGCTGGTTTCCAAGAAAGTTTTCAGCAGACTTTGTGGCCAGCTGACATGCTCTTTTTTTACTTAACAGTTGAAAAATTTTGGTTGAGCAGAATTATGAATAGGAAGCACAGGCCCCACTGGGGACGAGAGGTCAACTTTGCCAGGACTTCCAGAGACCAGGGGTCAACTTGAAAGCACGACTTGAGAGAGGTAAGCTGCATCTTCAGAAGATTCTCCACAGCTTTTGTTTTTCACACTTCAGCCAGCCAGAAAGTGGAGCCAGGTTGTGGGAGATGAAGAAGCAAACAGCCTTGGCAATAACTTGGCTGGGTCCCTTGGCTCCCCTTCCTCTTAAATGTATAAAGAGAATCCCTGTGGATTGTATCCGGTTTTCAAGACCCCCAAGATATGTCTCTGCCTTCCCCAAAATAAGCTGAAACCATGTTCAAATTGCAATAGCGATAGCCCTTAGGCTTATATACTGCTCCACAGTCCTTTACAATCCTCTCTAAGCAGTTTACAGAGTCAGCAACCTGCCCCTAACAATCTGGGTCCTCATTTTACCGACCTCAGAAGGATGGAAGGCTGAGTCAACCTTGAGCCGGTCAGGATCGAACTGCTGGCGGTGGGCAGAGTCAGCCTGCAATGCTGCCTTCTAAGCACTGCGCCGCCATGGCTCTTACTGCCATCATCCCATGAGATCTCTTTGAGGACAGGCAAAAGCATGTGAGACTTCCATAGTTTGGGGTGACAGGAGCATCCTCAACACACAGTGGCCTCTGGAATTGTTCCTGGTTATGCTCAGCGCATGAAAGCTGCCTCCATCCTTATTCCCAATGCCAAGGTACGCTTCAGACACGGCACTGATGGTGTTGCACCAAAACCAGGAAGGAGAAGTTCTCTCCAGCTTTGAGATACCAAGAAATGGTGAGGTTCTTGAGCAAGTCCCATGGACCAACTGGCCACCAGGGGGGCTCAGCCTTTGACCCCTCTCCCCTACGTGGCGCAACGCGGAAAGCTGGTGCGGTAGTAGCAATCTGTCACAGGCAAGGTCATGCAGACGTTAGTAGGAAAGACACCCATCCCAACACCAAACGTAAAGTACCTTGGAATAAGCTACTTGGAAGTCTCAAATGCAGATAGGTCTTCTGCCTTGGGCTTGAGGCTAAAACCGGCAACGATAAGAAACAGAACACAGAAAGGTCCTCTGTGAATTCAAGAGAGCATCAATGTCCCCACTATGTTTTGTGCCTAACCCTGCGAGATGCCGGGAGGTTTTCTTCCGATTCAGGGGGTGAGCGGGGCCATACCATTTTATGACGGTGTGTTGGATATGTTTGTCGCCTTGAGGTTGTTTTTTTTTGTAAAAATAATAAAGGCGGGCTACAAATAATAAAAAAATAAAATAAAATCTTGCCAACCACTGGAGGAAGCCAGGGGTGAAATTGAAGACCATTGCAGCTGGTTATGAGAAGGGAAGAACCTGCAACAGAACCCAAGATTTCTCAAAATCTGCCCGTCAGAAGTGGGTTTCATTAGGGAATATGGTGTGTGTGTGTGCTTGGTTTTTACGAGTGGAATGAGTGCCTTAACATCAGCCAGGCTTAAGACACCCCCTTTTAAGCCCCATTTAAATAAATAAATAAAATAAATAAATAAATTGTCATCGATGGGCTTTTGCAGAAGAAGATCCGTCTTTGATAAAGGTGGGACATCCCTTGCATTGTTTAAGCCTGCTTTCTCCTCCCTTCCCTTCGTCCCTTTTGCCCGGTGCATCGTGTCCTTAAGACGATAAGCCTGAAGAGCAGGGGAAGTCTCATTGCTAATATGCTTTCTGAGCTCTTCCACGCAAACGTCACAATTTAAAAATATTTTAAAATCCAGTAAAGAAATTAACTGTACTCCTCCGTCTTCAACAGGAGGATATTGCCCCAATCGAGGTGGTGGCAGAGTGACCTCTGCCGTGGTAACATTATTTTCTTAAAAGAAGAGAAAACCATATTCTCTCTCTCCCTCTGTCTGTTTTTCTCTGTGTGTCTTTCTCTCCTATCTATCTCTTCAATCTCTCTGTCTCACCTCTTTCTCTCTGTCTTTTTCTCCTATCTATCTCTTCTATAGCTCTGTCTCCTCTCTCCTCTCTCTGTCTTTATCTCCTGTCTCTTCTATCTGTCTCATCTCTCCTTCTTTCTGTCTTTCTCTCTGTGTTTCTCTCCTATTTCTTCTATCTCCATCTTTCTCTATCTCTTCTGTCTCTGTCTCATCTCTTTTTCTCTGTCTTTGTCTTTCTCTCCTATCTCTCTCTCTCTCTCACACACACACACACACACAAAACACCCAACAAAGCATACTTATACATGCACATACCAATTAAAAGGCAGAAGAAAAAATGGCATATATATCTTCCTTCATATCTGAATGACAATACGGTCTGCTAATATCTCCACTCCGGCAAATAAACCATCCAGTGACCTCTTTTGCAGGGGTCATCCGGCCATAATGGCAAGTAAAAAAAATCAGATGAAAAACCTCCGTTCCCGGTTATGAAAAGGCGGAGATTGTGGGCCTGACCTACATCACTGGACTCTGGGGACCATACATGAAATATCAATAAGCTACATCATGAGCCCCAAGCTCTTTAGAGAGGAAAATGGTTCTTCTAAAAAAAAAAAAGAAAAAAGAAATAAAGCGTAATTCTTCTTTTTGATATATAACAATTTGGAATCTAATCAGCATGCCCAACCTTTTTGAACAGGGTGTGCTTGCTGGGCGGGGCTCATGAAAGACATCTCTGTATTCCACAAGCTTCAGCGATAACAGGTAAGCGACACCACTGCTCCCACCACACTCTTTAGCTCCATTTCTGTCACCACAGAGGCAGAACGAGAGCTGGGATTTGCAGCTAAGCTGCCATCTCATCCAAGCCAGCATTCCCTCACACCTCTGGGTGACCTCAAGACAGGAGGAGCAAAAGACTTGGTTATTCCAGCTTGCAGGACTGGCCTAGGGTAATTTTTAGGGGGGTTTTAATTATATTTTAATTCGACAAATATTTAATATTCTTTTTAATTAATTTTAAATTTGTATTGTCTTGTATGTATTTTAAATAGATTGTCAGCCGCCCTGAGTCCTACGGGAGAAGGGCGGGATATAAATTCAAATATAAATAAATAAATAAATAAAAAAGAGAAATGGGGAAGGCAGGCGCAGGAGAAGGGATCAGCTGGTCTGCCCCTCCAGAGTGTCCTTTTCAAAAACAAGCTGTTTTTCGAATCCTCTGCTATTCCCTTTTCCTTGGGAAGGTAAACAAATGGAGGTATTTACCATAGCTGGTGAGGGGAAAACAAACACTGCCCTTCCTTTTCTAGCAATAGAGAGAGGGTTCAGTCTCCTCCCACGGGGGACCCTCCTGTGAATTGCATCCCTGCTTCTCTTCATCTTTCTCCAGAGCTGTCATTCACGGGATCTGTCTCCACTGCCTTCCTGAAGCAAGGAAGGTTTTGCTCTGGCAGACTCGTTTCACAAGAATTTCTCTTTTATTTTGTACTCAGATCAACAACTTGGACAGGAGGGGAAGGGAAGGGAGGGGAGGAGAGAGGAGGAGAGGAAAAGAAGAGAAGAGAAGAGAAGAGAAGAGAAGAGAAGAGAAGAGAAGAGAAGAGAAGAGAAGAGAAGAGAAGAGAAGAGGTGTCCACTGACTAGTTGCTAAACCCAGCTTGCCTGCTGGGTTTCGTCTGCATGAGAAAGGTTCAAACATGGCTTTCTGAAATGCTGTTTTTAATCTGTGTAGAGATTGTTTTTCTCATCAAAGGTCATGGCACTCACCAGTCGCTTGCAGGCTGAACATCCCCCCCCCCAAAAAAAGCCCATTTTTTTCTGACACGGAAAGGTGCTTGGGTTAATTCAAGAAAACAGGGAGGGATTGTGTTGTGATCTTGTCAAGACACATTTGGAGGGCAATGCCTGTTCGAGAAAATCCCTCTGTGCGAGGGAGCTTAAGGCTTCCTTCGATTTCACTAGCCAAGCTGCCTATCATCCTGGGGGCTGGCTTTTGACAAAATTTTAAAAGAAGGCCACGCAAGAGTGAAGTCGGTGAAGGAAGGTTCCAGATGCCGGTCTCTGCTAGCAGGAGAGGCACCTCCACATTGTGTTCCTCAATCTTGGCCACTTTAAGACGGACGGGCTTCATCTCTCCCAGAATTCTTCAGCCAGCAGGAATTCTGGGGATTGAAGTCCACAAAACATGACGGCTGGGGAATTCTGAGAGTTGAGGTCCACAAGTCTTAAATCCCTGACCTATCAAGGACTTGCCCTATCAAACTCCTGGCACAGAAGAAACAAGATCCTGGGACTGTTGAGGGGGCTGGCTGGAGAAATGAAAGCAGGTAGTGGAAACAGGTAAATTTAAGCTTGCGTAAGGCAATTCACCCGTCAATGAAAGCCAGAGGTCTGGCCAAGGAATGAATGTGTAAGTTGAAATGAGGGAACAACACTTCCCATTTTATTACAGCTTTGTAACTTATGCCATCCTGGAGTGCTCCCAGCCTACTGAAAGATTTTAGTTCTAAGTAGGGCCGAAAGGAAATTAGAAAAAGGAGTTCCACGAAGCGTGGTGGGCATGTTCTCCATAAATTCATAAAGAGCTAAACAAGATCAGCACCTTCAAGATGCCTGGTCAGTATCAAAGGTGCTTTTCCTAAAGGCAACTGGACGTTCTTGGGGTTTTTTTCCCCCCTTGAAAAGGTATTGCTTCTCCTGCAAGAAGCTTCGTGAACGAGAAGCGGAAGATTTTCAAGAAAGAAACCCAAGAGGTTGCCTTTTCGAAGAGCACCTGACCTGGAGGATTGAGAATCTCCTTATACCTGGTCAACGTTCTCATGAATGGATGATCAAAGACCCAGAGGGGAAAGAAAGGAGCGTGCTTGCCCAATAGGTGGGACTCATAAAACCCTAAGGCTGGTCAGAATTGCCTCCTTCTCGTGGGCAACCCTCAGCATTCCCAGCTAGCATGGAAGGGGATTCCCACCCAGCTTGGGGACCCCCGAGTCAGAAAAAAGGCCATGGTTGGCCATTTCAAGATGGCAAAAAGAGCAACTACCTTCTTAATGGTGTTGTGTTTGCTATTCCCCCGGTCGTGGTTCTCACTGTGCAGGATGTCCATGGTGGTCTCCCTCTCCTTCAATTTCAGAGCTTCGATCTCGGTCTTCAGCTCGTTCAGCTGCTCCTGGAGATGTTTGCTCTTCTCCATATATTCAACCCTGGACAGAGGCAAAGAACCTGCCGTGAGCTGCCACAGAAGTGCAGACATTGCCAAAAGAGGTAGAGTACAGAATCAAAGGGACCTTGGAGGTCTTCTAGTCCAACCCAATGAGATGGGATGCAAGAAAGCCCATCGCTTGAAGCTAACATCAAAACCAAGAGACAGACTTGGTCAAATCTTTTGGCTTTTCAGCTTCCTGCCTAGCCCATCGCTCAAGAGGAAGGTGGACGCAGAGCTACTGGGATGAAGCAACAAGAGCACTCACTTCTCCTTCTCGATCTCCATGGACAACCTCTTCATGTCGTTATCCTTGAAGTCGAAGGACAGGCTTTCACTGATCATGCCAAACGTTGACAAGTCAGAGGGCAAGGCGGTCGTACTTGCGTTCAGGGGCTGCTGAGGACAAAATAAAGAGATGAATCAGCCTTTCAGACAAACAAACAGTTAACTGACCAGCTTCCCTGGGCGACGCAGAGAAAACAAGGAAGGAGCAAGCGAGCACCAAGGATGGTTTGTGTCCAGTCTCTTTAAAAAAAACCTCCAGTGATGGAGCACCCACAACTTCTGGAGGCAAGCAGTTCCACTGGTTAACTGTTCTCACTGCCAGGAAATTTCTTCTTAGTTCTAGGATGGATCTTTTTTTTGACTAGTTTCCATCAGGAAGGTGAGTTTTTAAAAAATGCAATATGGAAGCATTTGAGCTGGACAATTCCAACTGGCAAATGAGGAGGACAGGTGTGCTGCTAAGCCCGTGCTGGCCCTTATACTTAGAACAAAGGCCAAAGTGTCTCTGACAGCTTGGAGAAAAAGATCTTGTCAGGCAGACAAAAGTCTTTCAAGCTAAGTGAATGCACCCGGCCAGTTTGTCCTACGAGGGGAAGATCACACGGAACTGCTGGCTAACATCCTGTTTGGAGAAACTGGCTGGCTCGCCTATTAGGAAGAGAAATTGCTCCCGACTTTGCTCTGTGCCACCTGCTGGAAGCTACGGCTCAGAGGGAACATGGCAGCCACAGAGAGAGGTTTCAGAAAATGTCAGAAGACCAGGAGATGCGATTCTTTTAAGAGAGCAATTCTGGGATGAATGCAGCTGGTGAGTCGGGGGTCAATGACTGCCCTCCGATCTTCCTCTTAATTATGCAAAAAACAGACTTGCCGTGCTTGCTGATCAGCTCCCAGTGATACAATGGGCTAGTTGCAAAACCCCACAACACAACCTACTATATGGAGCAGATGTCTATGGAGATTGTCAGTCATCCGGGTCCCCAAAGATGCTTTTTCAAGAGGCCACTGGACTTTCTTGTTTTTTCTTTGAAGACGTTTCACTTCTCATCCCAGAAGCTTCTTCAGCTTCTCCACCATCTGGTCAGAGCTGAAGAAGCTTCTTGGATGAGAAGCTGATGGCCCGGTGTCTGGAGGCCGTACGGGTCTGGATGGGGAGAAACAGACTCAGGCTCAACCCTTCCAAGACTGAGTGGCTGTGGTTGCCGGCTCCCAGGTATGGTCAGCTGACTCCATCGCTGACTATAGGGGGCGAAACTTTGGCTCCCTCGGAGAGGGTACGCAACTTGGGGG